TTTTATTCCACATTGTTCTCCCTCTCTATCAAGGATCTCCTACATAGATCCCCTTCCAAGTGGATGACAGTGGTAGCCGGGCACCATCTAGTTCTTCTGGCTTGAACTTGGAATTTCTTAGGAGACCTAGTAGAGGTAGGCTGGGTTTGGAGCACCGCAGCACAAGCAGCATTGTGTGGTTCCGGAGGCCCTGCACCATCTGTCCTCCACAAGGCCTCCAGAGTGCAAAGCTGACATGTCCCTCCTCTGCTGACCCTGCAGCAGCTCCCCTTCATGTGCAGACAGGACCCAAGCTTTGGGATACACTGTAGCCCCTCTTTGCTTTCATGGCTAAGCAGTCTTCTTCAAACTGTGTCTTCATTCCCAACCTCAAAGGTCAGCCATGTATTCTATACTGATAATTTGTAGTCAGCAACAACTTGAACCACTGGAGTGTTGTTGTTAATTGTTGTCTAGTCAATTCCAACTCATGGCAACTCCGTGTGTGCAAGAGTAGAACTGCTCCATAGGGTTTTCAATAGTGGTTGAAATTTCCAGGAACTGCAATAATATGCAAATGACGGATAAAAAATAAAAGATGCTTATAGGATGGTTCTTGCTGTGATAGAGTAGAGACTGAGATTAACCACAGTCTGTCTCTCTCTCTCTCTCACGCACACAAACCCACAGGTGAACACACACAGATGAATAAAAATAATTAATGCCTTATGTGAAGATACAGTGACAACTCAAGAAAAATGAGTTCTGGTTACTAGAATGATAAAACCTTGCTGTGGTCTCATGGGGGAATCTGCTTCACCAAGAGGGGCTCTGGCACTGCTTCTGCCACTAACAACACTGCTGTTGTATATGTGACCTACTTTTCCTACAGTGTGTTCTCAGCTCTGAACACATCTGATTCCACAGTAACTCTCTGGAAAGAGTATCACTGCCACCATTTTACTGAGAAGACATTTAGGCTTCTTGATGCTAAATGACTTGTCTGAGTTCATTTAGGAGGTAACTGGCCAGACAGGTCTTCCACTTGCCTGGTTGACTTCCCACTTACCCAAGTGTAAACATACAAAGACCAGCTTCTGATCTACAACAACAACAACAAAGCGGATGGGGAAGGGAGATGAACCACATTAGCGTCTTCCTCTAAAGGTTTATGATTCTAATCTTATCAGAAATGAAGCTTTGGAATTCAGGTCTTACTCAACATGCACATTTCAGGGACACACTATTGGGAAAGAAATACATGAAATGCTAAAGTCTCTCCATTAGAATCAGGAGTAGGAGAATGCCACTCCACCAAAGATTTGGCATTATTTTGGAAGTGAATAAAGTAAGGTGAAAGAGTGATTACCATTATTTAACTTTGAGAAAGGCGAGAGGGATAAAATTGTTATTACTGGAAAATTATATTATCGTACACCTAGAAAACAAGAGACTTAGAAAAAGAAGTCATTAAAGCTCTTTCATTTGGACTTCAATTCAACAGAAATATTTAAACAAGTGCACAGTTATATGTACAGAGGTATATATAGGGAAGTGGTTTGTAATAGGAATCCATATAAATGTCTACCAGTAGGCAGATTATAAAATATGGTTCATCCATATACTGGAACGTAACTTAGATTCAACCAATAAACAGAAGGAGCACAGCTATATCTCTTTGCACAGAATCAGAAAGGTGCCCACAATACATTATTGAATGTACAGCAAGATTCCGTTGCAAAGTATGAAGTGTATGCAGTGTATCATCAGTATAAGTGAGTGTATGTATGTAGACATATGTGAAGAGCAGTAGCATATGCATGTTTGGCCCAGTACCTACTAATGGTAGCTGTTGGGAGGATCCTCTGCTAGAGTAAGGTGAGGAGTTCCAGATATATCCCCTCCACAGGGAGAATGGTGGGCAGGGCTAGATGCAGGAGCTGGAGAATACATTTTCTGAGGGCCCTGGCGGTACTGAAAATTGCATCTTTGTATCTTTGTTGCAAGGTTATTACACCGTAGCAGTGGTTAAGAAATCAGATGCCGATCTCACCTGGAGCTCTCTGAGAGGCAAGAGGTCTTGCCACCCCGCGGTTGGCACATCTGCAGGTTGGAACATACCCATGAATTTAATATACAACCAAACCAGGTCCTGTAAATTTGGTAAGTGTGTTCTAGGAGGTGTTGTGGCAGCATCTTCCTTGGGCCTTGCCTGTGTAGGGCAGTAATTCAGTTCATGAATAATACCAAACCAAACTCAATGCCATTGAGTCGAATCCAACTCATAGCAACCCCTCCTTGGGTTTCCAAGGCAGTGTCTCTGTGGAAGCAGATTGCCCAGTCTTCTTTCCGAGGAGTGGCTGGTGGGTTTGGACTGCCAGCCTTCTGGTTAGCAGTCAAATGCCTTAGGCACTATGCCATCAGAGCTCCCTCATGAATAATAAAGAATGCCATAAATAGGTTAGAGAGTTAGGGCTTCACAAACATTGTGGGTAAATCTTAGTTCTTGAGCTGCAACAGGTTCGTCCCTCTCTCCCCACCCCTTGCTTCTGAGGGGAGTGGTTTTGGGCAAAAGGTCAGAGCTCAGGGAATTAGCCTGATTCTTTAAGTCTTACAAATGGTGTTGCAAAGCACATGTGTGTGTGTGTTTTCACATAAAAATGAAATTGGTTTCTTTCTTAAGAGAAAAGCTTATACTAGTAAGTCCTTGAGTGCTTTAACTTCACTTTCATCCTCATCTTTTTTGATTCCAATGTTAGTCATTTCAGCAGCACCCTTGCCAATAGTTAAACCTTCTCCGCTTTTCTCACCCATCTCACAAACGCCGTCCTGCATGAACCCTATTATCCCGGCTCTTCTCCCTCTGCAGCTGAGAGTCTGAGCAATGGTGGAGAACTTCACAGGGTGAAGCAGTTCATTTTGCAGGAAACACTCCAGCCACTGGCCTTGCTGGCCCCCAGTGCACACATGAATGCCCCCACTGTTTCTCTGCTCTACCCTTTCTGCACTTCTCAATGATTATCCATTACCTTAAACCCACACCCAACTTCCAGTCATCTTGATGATCTGCAAGAGACTATTGAAACCTTTAGAGCTTCAGCATCCCATAGCTGAAGCTGTGCACCTTCTGTCATTCTCATCTCCTTAGCCTCCCTCCCCTACCTAGCAGAACCCTCTACCTGCAGTTGGGTGAGAGCTCCTTCCTTACTTCTGTCCCCTGAGCCTCAGTTACCACTTCTTCTGGTATATCCAACAATCTCTTTCAACATGTAAATACCACCCCCACCCCCTGTCTTCCATTTTTAAAGATTCCTCCAACATTCTCTTCCCCCTTACTACCAACTTATGGAAGGAACTATGTGAACTGCTCCCCTCCCACTCACTCCCTGATTCCCTGGCATTTAGCTTCTTTGTATCCTCCATAGGGAGAATTCTGGCTGTGTGGCTCCTTGGAAGGGCAAGCTCCAGTCCTCTTCCTCCTCCACCTGTCAGCAGCAGTTTTTCTAATTGCCTTAAAATACACCATTCCCATGGCTTTTGTGAAAACATGTATGCTTGGCTTTTCTCCTACTCCTGCCATAGTCTCTTTTCCCAACATGGCTAATAAATGTTTGAGTTGCTTAAAACAATCCTTATCCCACTGTAAATTTGATCTCCAAGCACTCTTATGCATGCCTACAGCCATGATGGCTATCAAAACTTATACAAAGCTAAGCACGTAGCCTAGCTAGGTAAATGTTTAGGTAAGTACATAAAATGTCAGTTTGCTGTTCTTCTTCTTACTATTATTATTATTATACTTGTATGTTAATAACAAGTTTTTAATCCTTAGCACAGATCTCTCTTTGGCTTCCAGATTTGTATATATTTAAATACTGATTTGACATATCTAGTCAGAAACCCTGGTGGTGCAGTCATTTAAGGGCTTGGCTGCTAACTGAAAAGGTCAGTGGTTTGAACTCCCCAGCTGCTCCATAGGAGAAAGATGTGGCAGTCTGCTCCCATGAAGATTATAGCCTTGGGAACCCCATGGGAGCAGTTCTACTCTGTCCCATAGGGTCGCTGTAAGTCAGAATCGACTTGACAAGGAGTTTAGTTAGGTATCTCAAAGGCACATTAAGTTCAGCTGTCCAGGACTGAATGAGTCATCTCCCCTGCCAAGCTTGATCCTGTTCTGGAATTACCTAACTTAGTGGAGGACCATAAAGTCCATCCAGTTTCCCCAGCTGGGAATGTAGCTGTCATCATTAACACTCAGCCATCACCAATTATGTCAGTTTCACCTCCTCCCACCTGTCTCCATCACCTTTGCACTGCTCTAGACCAAGCTACCCTCATCTGCCTGGACTGCTGCTGTGCCTGCTTCCTGGACCCAAGATCCACTGTGGATTCCATCTGCCTTATTGGCAGACCTGTCTTTGCAAAGTGCAGATCTGACTATATCCTGCCCACCACCTTTTGGCCCAGCATTGTCTAAAGCCTTTGACAGGTTCCACGTTTCTCTAAAGATAAAGAACAAAATCTATATCATGGTGGTTTCAAAGGTCACATGTACTCTGGACCCTGCCCCTTCCCCACTCAGCACCTTGCTCTAGGTGGTCCAGCCCCCGTGGCCTCCTTGAAGCTCTGTGTCAGCCCTCAGCCTTTGCAGATGCTGCTCCCCTGTCTGGAAAGCTCATTTCTCTGCCCTTCACTTGGGTGATTCCTACTCATTCGTCATTTCTTAGCTTCAGAACGCTCCCTGACTTCCAGGTTTACATCAGGTTCTTGTATCTACGGCTTCATGGAACCATATTCGTTTTCCTAGAGCAAAGAAAGAAACATGAATTCACTTGTGTGGTTGCTGAATTATGGCTGCTGCCCCATTGGATGCAGGTTCCACAAAGGCAGGGCCTCAACCTGATTTCTTCATCATTGGGTCCTCAAGCCCAGCATGTGGCTTGGCAAACGTGCATTTCTAGGCTCTTTCTGAATTTGAAGTCAAGATGGTGAACCTTTTAAGGAAAGACAGGGGCCAAAAACATGTGGTTCTGGTTCAACAGCCATAAATTCCATTTTTTCCACTTTCTTGTGGTTACAGTCTGTGCCTGTCCTTCCACACTACTGTCCTGGGCTGGACAGGGTGGGCTTTGGTGAGCTCACAGACCCCTTGTACAACTTTAGCCAACTCCCCTTTACTTCCCCCAGCTGACACCTCTTTTGATTCCATAAGGTTCTTTTCTTTAATAATATGTGACTAAATAACTAACTGTGTGGTTACATCATCTGGATAATTGTAAGGAGAGAATCTGAGGCTTTTGTCCTTCTCCACAGATGAATTCTTCAGTCAAAGCTGTGCCCCTGGGTCACACCTCAATTCCAGTCTCTGTGCTCTGTGTAGCAGCAGTCTTTCAAGTTCAGTGCATACGTGTGTCCCTAACAGCCACGAGAAATACTATGGCTTTACAGGGGCTTTCAGGCAAGTATCTGTTCATCACTTTTCTCTTTGGAACCAACTCAGTGAACATGTCCTTTCACCTTTTTCATCACTCCATCATCTGAGTGCTGCATTTAGGAGGAGCCAGAACTAAGAAACAAAACTGCAGAAACTTGATTGCAAATTTCAGTGTGGCCTCAAGGCCTCAAGCCAAGCCCCCTTCTGGAGCACTCTCTTATGGACCCAGCTGACTTAGACAACTGGAATGGGCACCAGGGAAGGGGCAAGGATGACAGGTGCAGTATCACACTCCTAGTCTAGTTTTTCTTCTTTCTTTTGTATGATTTTACACAAGTCATGGATTAATTCTGGGCCTCCATTTAAAATCAAATGAAGGACATGTGCTTCTTATACCTGGTTTCACTTCTATTTTAAACATAGATATTCCTGGGCTCTTCCTCAGAGCTCTTGAATCAGGAATGAATTTCTCCATCCCTGTAGGAAATATTTATTGATGTGTGACCAGCATTGTTTGAGGTAGAAGGTTACAGCAGCAAACAAGACACACAAGTTTGTTCTCTGTCCTCCCTGAGTCGCCTGGGAGAGAACAGTAGACTAAACACATAAATAAAGAACAGGACACCTCCCAACTGTCATAAATGCTACAGAGGAAAGCAACCAAGGTGATGTGGCAGTGACTGGGGTAGGCGGACAATTTTAGAAAAGAGGAGCAGGAGAGGCCTCACCACGCAGAGGGACCATATGAGCTGAGTAGTAAATCGTGAGAGGGAATGAGGTTTGTGAAAAATCAAGAGGGCAAAATAATCCAGACAGAAGGAGCATTAAGGACAAGGCAAGGGGACAGGAGAAATTGTGCTGTGTTTGAAGCCAGGGAAGAAGGTTTGTACAGTTGGAGCATGGAGAGGGAGGGATCAGACGTGCCAGGAGGTTGGAGCAGAGGCAGTGGTCCTATTGGCCTGATTGAGGAGGCATATTTCATTCTAAGGCTAATGGACAGTGCTGGACACTTTGAAGCAATAGGGTCATGTTATGTGAATTAGAGTTTAAAATGATCTCTCTGGTTGTTACATGAAAACATAAGAAGATAGGAGGGGAAGAGGGAAGGCCAGATGACCTTGCTTCAAATCCTAAATCTGTTTTATGAGGCTCTAGAAAATACCCTTTATTTAGAGATACCAGGGTCTCTCACTACCTACTGCTTTGTCCTGCCCTCTCCAAAGTCTTGTCTCTACCATAGGCCAGAGATAAATGACATATTTTGGGAGATCCCACTATAACAATACATGCTGAATGTTAAAACTAGGCAAAAATAGCTAAACTTTTCTTTACATCTTGTCAGTATTAGGATCGATTACCCCATTTTGGTGCTTTTAAGATATTATTACAGAGAACCTAGAATTGTCTGAATTCGATCTAGAACCACAAATTCTTGTCCTTCCAAAATGAAGATGAGCACACAAAGAACAATCTTAGCTTCAAACTTCTCACATACCCACCACCTTTACCTGTCATCTCACTCACTCTTTGTTTTTGTTTTGTGTGATTTGGGTGAAAGTTTATTGAGCAAATTGGTTTTTCATTCAACATACTTTGTTTTGTGACAGTCTTTGCAGTTCCTGCAATATAACTCCCTCTGATGTTCTGTCTCCAACAGCCCTTCATCCCCACTGATCTGTAATCCATGATTCCGCAAACTCTTCACTGCCCCCTCATCCACTGTCCGTGCATATCCTTTCTTTCCTCCTTACCCACTGTACATTCCATGGCCAACCATGAAAATAACTCCCCTGCATGTGTCCTCAAATGCTTTGCCTCCTCTCCTAGCTAACTCAGGACATTGATTAAATCTAATAGTTCACATACTCAGTGTCTGTATTTCCAGGCTGTCTGACCACTATTTAATGACCTCCAACCTCAAGGATCTCTTCTAGTCTATTCACTTCCTCACTCTCTAGAAGGTGATTCCATACTTTCTTCTCTCCTCCAACCTCCAATACTCCTTCCCCTATATAATACAACCTGAGAAAAGTGAAGCTATCCACAGAAATTCCACACACCTCCACTGTCATGTTTACCCACATGCCTGAATCTGTGCCCCAAAACAGTGCCCTCTTTCCTCTTACTCAGGATGAACTGGCTCTACTATCTGAGACCAGCCCTGCACGCACACTAGATTGCATCTCCTCTAGTCTGTTTTGGTGCAGTGCCTAACAGTCCTTTCCACTTTCTCATGCTTCATGAATTTTCTTCTCTACTAGATCATTTCCATGAGCATACAAATATGCTGCTATTTTTCACCTTGAGAATAAATGAAACCACTCTTGGTCTCACTTTCCTCACAGCAACTGGCTATTTCTCTCTCCTTTACAACAGAATAGGAGCTCTGGTGGTGTAGTAGCATTTGACTGCTAACCAGAAGCCTGGTGGTTCAAACCCACCAGCCACTCCTCGGAAGGAATATTGGGCAATCTTCTTCTGTAGTGATACCACCACGGAAACCCAAAGAGGGGTCACTATGAGTCTAATCCGACTTGATGGCAGTGAGATATTTTTTACAACAGAATATCCCTTGAATACCCTTGCTCACTCCAATTTCTCTCAATCTCTCTGGAACTCAAATCCAGAATATGTTCACTATGCTTTACCTTCCGCCCCCCACCAATGGCATTTGGTTTTATTATAGTCTTTAAGTCATCTACAGAAAACATACCTCCCTATTGTGGGCACATGGACAGACTACTTCCATCACACCTCCCCTCTTGGTACATCACTGCCCATCACTGAAAATGCACTTTGAAGTCACCAATGACCTCCATTTTGCTTAATCCAGTTCTCAGTCCTTGCATTACTTGATCTACAAGCATCATTGACACTACTGATCACTTCTTGGATAAATTTTCTTCCTTAGCTTCCAGGATACTACACCCTCTTGGGTTCTCTCCTACCTTACCTGTTACAAAGTCTCTATTACTGATTCTATCTCACTTTCCCAATATCTACATGTTGATGTGCTTCAGAGTTCCACTCTTGAACTTCTATCTTGATGCTCCCACCCTTGGTGATTTTATCAAATCTCAATCCCACCCACATGCTGATAATTCCTAGTTGTTCCTTCCAGTCCACATCTCTCCTTGAAACTCCTGCTTCATATATCCAACTGCCTACTGGTCATCTCCACTTGGATTTCTAATTGCCATCTCAAATTTAAATGTCCTAAACTGAACTCTTGAAATTCCACAACTCCACCCAAACTAGTACCTCTTGCACTCTTCCCCATCTAAGTTAAAGACAACTGTATTTTTCCCTTTGCTAAGAACAAACAAACAAAACTTAAGGCCTTTGTGTTATCTACGCTTGTTCTCTTTCATACCCCATATGTGGCCCATCATCAAATCATGTTGACTTCAAAAGGAATCCAGAATTGATCTCACCACCCATGCCACTGATACTACCCTTATAGAAACCACCATCATCTCCCCCTAGATTGTTATAATAACCCTTTCATTGGTCTTCATGCATCTGCCCTTCCTCTCTTCCCCTGCCAGTCTATTTTCAACACATTAGCTAGAGTGAGTCTATTAAAACATAAATCAGAGCACCATATTTCTCTGCTTAAAACCCTCCAATCATTTGGGTGAATGTTTATGGACAAAATTCTTTCAAAATTACCTGTTCCACATTGATCTTAGTCTCTGACCTTGTGTTTTGATCCAACAACTACAAGTTCATCCCTTGATTATCCCTGATAATAGTAGAACACAAACACCTCGCCTGGAGAAACCGGTTAGTATTTAAAATAAGGAAACAAACAATGGTGATCTATAATAGAAATGAAATATGTACTTTTCTTCTATCATATTTTCCCCTCAGACTCCTAGGGATGGCCTGGATGTTAGAGTTGTTTGAATGGAAAATGTGTGTCAGATGCACCAAGTGGGCCAAGTAGACAGGGTGTGAAGCTTCTTATTCTCCTCTTGACTCTTTCTCCCTCTCCTGTTCATCCACTCTCTGACCTTTGCTGTGCAGGTGTCTAGTTGAGAAGGGAGATGTGGCCTTTGTGAAGCACTCCACAGTCCTGCAGAACACTGACGGTAGGTGCCTGCTCTGTCCTTGCCACAGAAAAATCTGAATCTCTCATGTGAAATCACTACCATCACTCCCACTCCCAGCTGAACAATTGGAATTTTATTAATCCTGTCAGACTCCTGTGACTTAAAATCCAAAAACGAAACTCATTGCTGTCGAGTCAATTCTGACTCATAGTGATCCCCTTTGGGTTTCTGAGGTGGTATATCTTTACAGAAGTTGATTTCTCAGTCTTCCTTCCACAGAATTGGCTTCTGGGTTTGAACCACCAACCTTCTGGTTAGCAGTCAAATGCCTTAGGTACTATGCCACCAGAGCTTCTGTGACTTGTTTTTGTTGTTGTTGTTATGTGCCTTCGAGTCGGACCCGACTCCTAAGGACCCCTCCTTGGGTTTCCAAGGCAGTGTCTCTACGGAAGTAGATTGCCCCATCTTTCTTCCGAGGAGTGGCTGGTGGGTTCGAACCACCAGCCTTCTGGTTAGCAGTCAAATGCCTTAGGCACTATGCTACCAGAGCTCCCTAATACTTTTTTTTTTAGGAATGAGAAGAGTCTTCATCACTGGACAGGCTTAGAGGGCTGAACCTGTTGTTACGTAGGCTTGAACCCTGTTTACAAATACACAGAATTCAGTCTGGTTCTCTCAGCTGAAAAAACACAAAGATTGTCCCTGTTACCCACATATGTGGGGCAAGAGTTGTGTGACTTTTAATAGTTTACCTTTACATACATATTTTACTTTCATGAGCTAGTTAGGTATCTAATCTATACTCATCCACACTTTCTAGGCTCTGTGTGAGATCCGGATGGCACTTGTTGAAGAAGGCAAACTCCACCAGAGATTGGTTGTTTATTAACTGTCTTGGTTGCCTTTCATGGTCATTCAGAGCAAGAATTAGCAAACTCAAGACTCCTGTGACCAATTTAACCTCCACTCCACTCTCTCAGCCTCACTTCCTACCTCCTAGAGAAAAATGAAGTGAGGGAAAACAGAGGGAAGAGAAAGATCTTTCAAACAGTAACTCAAACTCCTAAAGCAAAAACATTATCAGTTTTACCAATAAAAATGTTCTTTTGAATAGAAATGAACCATAAACAAAGACAAATGAAAAATGAAAAACTATTATGAAATACTTGCTCGGAATGTGACAAAAGACTTATCAGTTTAACCAAAACAAAAGCATTTGATAATAGTAGTGCTGGTGAGGGTATGGGCAAAGCCACTTTTGTATGCTCTTGGTTTAAGTGTAAATTGATTTGATACATTTAAAGGAAAATTTGGAAACATTTATCAAACTTTTAATTACATATAACCTTTGAACCAGATATAACATTTCTAGGAGTTAATTATACAAGTTTATTGACACCAATGTGCAAAATTTGAAAGGTAATTAACTGCAACCTTCTTTGTGGTCAAAACTTAGGAAACAAACAAGTTGAAGATACTATACTTCCACACAATGGAGTACTGTGGAACTTTTAAAGAGAATGCAATAGTTCTTGTATATCATTGTATGAAAAGATTGCTACATGAAAAAAGATGTTGCAAAAAATGTATTTAATACACCTTTTCTGTTTAGATATTTTAGTTTTTCTTGTGATTTTTAAGAATACAAGTGTACATTATTTTTGTTTTAAACTTTTTATTGTGATTTGGGTGGAAGTTTACAGAGCAAATTGGTTTTCTATTCAATAATTCATACACATTTTGTTTCATGACATTGATTACAGTCCCCAAAATGTAACAGCGCTCTTCCCACTTCCTCCCTGTGTTTATCATTTCCTTTCATCTTCCTTTGCTCTCCCTTCCTGACTTCTGAGCTTTGTTCCTGGGGAAATGCTACCCTTTTGATCTTGTCTGGTTGCTTGTTCTAGTGAATGTGTGCATTCCTGGTGTTACTCTTTACCTTACAGGCCTGACATTTGGCTGAAAGTTGAGCCATGGGAATGAGTTCAGTTCAAAGTTTGAAGGGTGTCTAAGGGCCATAGTCTCAGGGGTTTCACCAGTTTTCATCAGACCAATGAGCCTGATCTTTTTTATGATTTTGAGTGTTGTTCTACATTTTTCTCCCACTCTGTGCAGAATCTCCTATTGTGATCCCTTTCAGAGCAATTACCTGTGGTAGCCAGGCACCAACTAGTTCTTCTGGTCTCAGGATCATAGAGGCTGAAGTTCATATAGTCTATCAGTCCTTTGTGTCTTTGATTTTCTTTACTTTTCCTTGCTCCAGATGGGGAGAGACCAATAGCTGCACCTTAGATGGCTGCTCACAAGTTTTTAAGATCCCAGTCACTACTTCCCAAAGTGGACTTTGTGGACTTTGTGTTATGCCTACTGACTTTGATGTCCCCTAAGCCATGGTCCTGAGCCCCCACACCCAGTGACTCATTCCCTCCAGCTGATTGGTTATGGCTAAGAAGTTTTCATAACTTTGCCCCCGTATACTCTACTATATTCATGGATGTATTTGCAGCACATGTAAATATATATGTAGAAATATCCTTTCTCAAAGCTAATTACTGTTGTTTTTGTTATGTGGTGTTGAGTTGGACACGACTCATAGCAACCCTTCATTGGGTGTCCGAGGTAGTATCTTTACAGAAGTAGATTGTCCAACCTTCCTTCTGAGGAGTGGCTGGTGGGTTTGAACTGCCAGCCTGCTGGTTAGAAGTCAAATGCCTTAGGCACTATGCCACTAGAAGTTCCATGCTTGTAGATTATTATTATTACAGTTATTGCAGAATTGTGTATATAATAGTACTTTTGTTCTTTTAACTCTTATGTTTCTCCCAGTGTCTTACCTTGCCTTGATTTTTTTTTGTTGACCTTCCCTTTATTGTATATTGCCTTTACCTTCGTTCAAGTTAATGCACATCTATCCTTTAAAACCAAAAACCAAACTCAGATCCAACTCATAGCGACCTCTCCTTGGTTTTTCAAGGCAGTATCACTACAGAAGTAGATCACCCAGCCTTCCTTACAAGGAGTGGCTGATGGGTTTGAACCACCAGCCTTGTGGTTAGCAGTCAAGTGCCTTAGGCACTACACCACCAGAGCTCCTTATCTACCCTTTAGTTACCAATTTGGTAGCACAGAGTAGCAGGCTGGAAGAGCAGGAGAAAGGGGTAAAACCCAGTCACTAGTGCTCAGACGGCTCCCTTGTTACCCTCCCGAGAGGGACCGGGTCTCCGGGAGCAAGGTAAGCACGGGCGGGCTGGTGCTTACTCACTGATCTGCACTGAACACTATC